GATGAATTTTCCTACTGGCTGTCTTCATTTGGAAGATTCCTGAAGAATAAAGTTTCTGTACTCTTATGCACTTTATTTTGCTTTGTGCTAACAGTCTGAAGAGCACTGAGGTTATGCATCAAGCACAGAAGTATGGGTAGATGTTTTTTTCTATCAGAGGGATTGGATTTCCAGTCACTCCTAAGTTTCATTGTCTTGGAGGTATTTTGAACAACTGCCATATAGACCAAAAGGCAAATCTTCAGCATGGCTTCTGGCAGATTTACCACACAAGCCTGAGGTCAGCACAAGAGCAAGATACAGACCTGCTTTACTGCACCAAACACAAGCATCCAGTGTAGACAACTACTTTTGAGCAAGCCTCCTTCAAAATCCTCAATGAAGTTCATCAATAATATACTGCATTATATGACTAATTTAATCTCAAAATGATGTCTAAGAACATGATGTCCCCATCTAGATGCCTGAAATGATCATTCACACCCTAAAAGCAACTTTTTCCCTCAAATAGCTAGAAATAGAGCATAGATGACTCTCCCACATGGACACATCCCTTGCTGCCTAGTGGCAGTGAAGTGTTTAGAAGACCCAGTGCCCTCAGTTAAACCTAATGCCAGATGTTTGGCTCAGCTGTCATCATTCCCCCTTTTAATCTTCAGTCAATTATAGCAGCAGTTATTTGTGATTTCCAAATGCCCACCCAGAGCATGTGAGCAGTGCCCATGCCTGGACAGACCCATCACCAGAGTGCTGCAAGCCACGGGCCGGGTGATCTGTCCAGCCTCCTGCAGCAGAGAGGGAGAAGTACCTTTGGTACCTGTGGCTGTTGTGCAAACCACACACTGGGCAGTGGAACAGTGGCCATGAGAGAGTAAGAACCTGGCTGAGATGCATCTCACTTGTATTTTCACAACCCATTAATCATCCAGTTCCCATAAACTTCGTATTTGCATGAGTATTTAGAGTAAATGGAGTTAGGCCCCTCAGGTCCTTAAAGCCTGGATGTGGGCTGCAGCCTGCATTGTGAGACACTTTAATACATTTTTAACTCTGTTCCTTAATAAATATTTAAGAAAAATGAGGTTCGTCCTCCCCTAGTTGCCTGTCATCACATGCATGACTTGAGCTGCACTGCACACTCCAGCCCCAGTCCCACCACACCCTTCCTGTGCTCCACACACCTGCGTGTTGGGAGAAACAGGGAAAGGCCACTTAATTGTGGGAGAAAGTTCACTACTGGGAAGGAGCTCACAAGTTTACAGAGAGCAGCAAGTGATGTCAAAGCCTACTGGTGATGTGGCTTGTCATTCTGGCTGGGAGGGGAGGGGCAGGCTGGGGAAGAAGCACTTAAAAGAGGCTGAGGAAGTAAACCTGCCATGCCACTGCAAAGCAGCCCTTCAGGGAAAGCCAATTACCTACCCAGCCTCCTGGAGATTACAAGGAAGAGCACCTTGAGGTGAAACAAAGGAGAGATGAGGGGGACAGCAATGAAAGGACTTGGGCTGCTCATTTTCAGTGCAAGTGAGTACTAATTTGGTTATGTCCTCAAGGGCTGGGTGGAAGGAAACAGCACTACAAAGTACAAGGACTCCAGTGTGTCCCTTTCTTGTTTAGTGAAGATTCCTTTGTGTTTATGGCCAGACAAGTGAGTGTACCATCTCTGTGTTGAATGTCCACACACGCAGGCATCTCCCAAAACTGTCAGGAGTGGGAGAAAATGCTGTTCTTCATGAAGCTGGGAAGTATTTTTCATAAATTGCTTTCTTGGTTTCTGTTAATACGATATTTATCTCTGAAGAAGGAACTTCTTCTGTAAGTCTCAGTTCCACTGCTTTTTATCCTGTCTCATATTCTTATATCAATGTTCCTACACCTTATTCCAGGCTTCAGACCAAGCTATGCACATGGGAATTGCTTGGGGTTTTATAACTAAAAATCCTAAAAACCTCACTTCAACAATAAGACCCACAAAAAGGAAATTCACAAAGTTCAAAGTAATCAGAAAAAGTAGATGGGCTCCATACGCAACAAATGTGACTTGGGTCATGGTTTGATAATCATTATGTAACTTGTGAAATGCCATTGATATTCACTCTCCTTTTTCATTATTCTTACCTTCCATGCTATGCAAATTAAGTATGGGGAATCTTTCAGAGAAATAAGTATGCAAATGACTCTTCTTTTTTTTTGCTTGATCAGAATCTCGATTTATTTCAGCAAACAAAATACTCCTGTAATTGTATTAGTTGCTCTTCACTCTGTTAACAATTATTCAGTAAGGAATGTGAAAGTAGAAATGTCACTTTGATTTTCTTCCTTTGTACAAGTACAAATCTCTAAGCAGAGGGAGAGAAAACCTTTCTCATTTTTAAAAATGTTATAAACATACAAAATGTCTCTCACATTCTTTAAAACGTTATAAACACACGAAGTGATAACACACAAAAAAGTAACTCTGGGACTTAAATCTAGACATTGTCTCTCTAGTAGTATGTAGGCTATTTGTCCTCTCTTTTTTTTTGGAGTTCTTTCAGTATTTGCTTCCCCTCCCTTCAGCCACATTTTGAACAGATTCTGTTTCCACTCAGAAAAAAAAAAAAAAAAACAACCTGAAACCACAACTTTCAAATGTGCTGACTATGAAGTGAAATGTGGTGAGAAGTGGGAAGGAGGAAATCAGCTTGAATCAGTGACATCCCAGAATGAAACTGTTGCTTCCCTGAGAGAGGGAATCTCTTTCTGGGATGGAGAAATAGATGTGGGTGACAAATGCAAAGCACCAGAAGCAGTGGGACGTGAGGGTGACAAATGAGTAAGTGTGTCACAAGCTGTGCCCTGCATGCAGTGTTGGGTTCAGCTGTTCCCCAACTCTGCAACAAATACGTCTGGAAGAAAAAGATCTCATTTATTGTAGGATTTGACTCATCCAGTTGGAAGAAGGAAAAGAAATCTTAGGGTTGGGTGGTTTCTTCTCTGCCTCAGGGCTGCATTTATGACCTGCCAGTGAATCCCAGCCCAGTGGAAGCAGTTTCTGAGTGACAAAAAGATCAGGAAGTGGGTTTTGCTCCATCTCCTAGTACAGACAGTGGTGCTTTTCACCTAAATGCACAAAAGCATCTCTATCCAAGTCATGACAAGCAAGGAGAAAGCTTTCACAGGTATCTCTCATAAGGAGGTCATATGAAAACAGTATTAAGAAAAACCCCTGGGGGTATGTAAACATGTGCCTTGCCCTGGGTGCTCCAGAGCAGGGAAAGATCTGGGAGTGGCTGCAATAAAAGCAGGTTAGAAATACTTTGCCCTGGTTTCCTTCTCGTATCTGTTAGCAGTTGTAAATGAAATAATGCTCACGAGAAGAGAAGCCACCCCTGCCATGTCACAGAGGAAAAGGTGAAAACACACCTCACTAATGAACTGTGGGAGCCCATAGAACAACCCGGTGGTTGAGAGCATGCAGAAACATGGGAATTTAGGCTAAAAGCAGATCCCTGTGCCAACTGTCCCATGGCACCCTGTGTAATTACCTGAATTGTGACCCCAGGTTCTTAATGCAGTGACAACACAACCTTTTGGGTCCCAACACTGTCATTTTCTACAGGACTCTTGTTCAATACTAGTCAAGGATGTGGCAGTGCTCAGTTTCTGACACAGTGCAGGGGGCTGTGCGCTTTTCCTGTCTAAAAAAGTGGGTATTCACAACCGGTTTGCAACTCAAGGTGCAATCTAGAAATCCTTTGCTCTCTCCCTTATACATTACACTTCCTTATAGATCTAACCTGGACAAAGATATGGCAGAATGAGGACCCAAAGTTTGCTAGGTGGCAACTTTTCAGATTAATCCTCTCCAGGGAACGGTGACTCAGCTTTCAGAAGTAAACTTTCACCACCACATACAGCATGCCCCTCATGAGGGAAGCTCTCCTACTCTTTCCTCCTCACTGCACCACCTTCCTCTTTGCCATGGCAGCACCTCTGGGCAGCACTTCCTTCCTTGCCATTTACCATTTTCCCAAATGATTTCCACAAATGATAGAAATAATGGAAATTTATTTCATTAAAAAAGAAACAAAACCAAAACCTCAAAGCAACAAAGACGAACACAGAACCCACACCAACTGTTAGGAGAAAACAGGTGTTTTTAACCATGGATTCCTCCAGACATGAAGGTCACCTATGGCAGGGCAGACATAAATGTCCAGCTCGATTCTGAGAATAACAAAGCCTTGCCCACCAGGCAATGATAAGATACGATGAATTAAGAGCAAGTCAGAGGGAATTCAGTGCAAGAAGAAACACCTGTCCTGTGCCCCGCGTGCTTCCCCAGGGCACAGAGGGATTTCTGTTTTATTCAACTCTCAGCTATTCCTGTGCTCCAGAGGCAGGAGCTGCAGTTCTTGAAGAAAGGTGACTACTACCTTACTCATTTTTAAAAAATACTAAAAGCTTTTCTTCCTTTGTTTCTTTCAACCACTGTTTGCTTCTGTAGGTTTTTCTATTTTCAGGGATGAAAAACATGAACAGGTTTTGATTCCCTAGCACAAAATGTCACTTTTCTATGGATTTGGATCGAGGCAAGTCATTTGACAGTTTTCCTGATCCTTGAAATTTGACAATATCAGTTTGTTAGTTTAGCCTGAATCCTTAAGACTGCTGATGCACTTGGAGTATCTGTTTATCTGTCTCCCTCTGTACATTCTGAACTGTCAAAGGGTGTCAGTCACACTGAAGGAGGGCTCAGGAAAAAAAATAACGCATCTTTCTAAACTCCATGGCAATGTATGAGTAGGCGAAGAAGAGAGAAGCAAGGAACAGAGAGCAGAGTTTAGCTCTAAGCCATCCTGTGCAGCAGCTTCCCAGAGCCAATCAGCTCCAGCACACATCACCTCTTGCTCAGTGGGGAATGTCCTGGATGGCAGGGAATGAGGGCTTATTGTGGCATGTAAGGAAGCCAAAGAGACTACCTTGGAATCCAGATGTTGTTATTTTTGCTCTCTTCCTAGTTCTGGTGCCTGCTCACGCCCTCATTGTGGAAGCACCTGAGAAGCAAATCCGAGTGGCAAGAGGAAGAAACGCTACCCTGCGCTGTAATTTTAAAACAAACTCAGCTGCTGACAGAGGAGACCTGGTTGTCTGGAAGAAAATCAATAGCAAGGTAAACTGAGCTGCATAAAGAAACAGGTGAGAGGGCATCCAAAAAGGGGCAGGAGATGGAAGCTGTGAGTGGGAATGGATGTTGGAAGAAAAAGACTTCTTCCAAACTCTTTTTAATCCCAGAACTGTGCAGACAGAAATGCTGAGTCTAGACGCAATTTATCTCAAATCCACCGCACAACAATAGGCAAGTCCCCACCCCTCTTCCTCCTCTCCCTTGGTCTTACAGTGTTTACTGAGGATACATCACTGTATGTATGTGGGGTTTACATCTATCAAAACATGTGAAACACTCTGATAATTTCTAAAAATATATGTATATATAAATGTGTATGTCTAATACACGTATCTTTGATACTATACAAGTTCGAAGTTGATGATAACAGTACATGGAGAGATTCTTGAGGTCTCCTACATCCATTTGAAGTATTGGAAGGTTAAGAAACTTTTGAAGTTCTCCTTGAGTGCTTGGGAATTAGTGAGAGGGGAAGCAACCTTTGGAGATCTCCTTGCAAGAATTGTCAAGGCTTTATTTGGAGATCCTTGCTGGGAGAGTCTGTGTAACCATAGGGCAATTTGACTGACATGGGTCTCAGACAAGTCTCATGCTGTCCCCTCCTCATGGTGAGGAAAGGTGAATAACCCCCAGCAAAGGAAATCAGTTGTCTCTGATTTCAGATAAGGTGTGAGAAGGGGATTCCAGATGGAAACAGAGATCCTTTTGAATTCCTACGTTTTTCTTGGCCTTTTCCCAAACTGCTGCAGTTTAAGGTCCTCTTTTCCAAGCTGCTCCTTAAGAGTGGGCTGATGAATCGAGTTCGATAGCAGACGCACACAGAAGGAACCGAGGCTGACGCTGTCCCCTCTGTCTGTGCCAGGTTGACGCGGTGTCGCGGTACTTCGACGGGCTGGTGCAGTATGGGGAGGGCTACGACCACCGCATCCAGTTCATCGGCGACGTTGACAGCGGGGACATCAGCATCACCATCGGCGCCGTCACCATGGAGGACAACGGCACCTACGTCTGCAGCGTCCGCCTCCGCGACGACCCCCCGCGCACCTCCGCGCTCCAGGACCTCTTCGTCCTCGGTGAGGTGACACAGGCACTGCCACAGCCCTGGCAGGCACACTGCCCTTCCTCTAGTGCCCACAGTGGTTTAAACAACAGGCTTTCTAATAGCAAAAAAAAAAAATATTGTCATCCCCAATTCCACCTTTGGTGTTTTCCTACTCCTATGGAAGGACGCTGGGATGTGTAGAGCACATAACCCCCTCAGACAGCAGCTGGCTGTAGAAAACAGCCTTTAGAGCTGTACAGCTCACTTTCCTCATAATCCAGGCATCATTACAGGGCTTTCCTCACCCCCCTGTGGCCTGTCATACTCCAGTTATCAAAGGATGGGTCACCTAACACTATCAGGCATATCCCAAAAAGCGTCTTGCAATTCCTTCTTGGCTTTCCGGTGCCAAAAAGGGAAAAACAAATTAGAAACAAATTAGATCCAAACTCACTTTCAGTACCTTTAAAAGGTGCAAGACCAGCCTCTGCTTGCAAGAATAAAACCCACAGATGCAGATGCGCTGAAACAAGAAACTGCTTAATTAGTTAAATACAGTTCCTATTTTCTTCCTTCAGTTGCACCATCGAAGCCTGAATGCAAGATTCTGGGGACACCAGAATATGGACAAACAATCAACCTGACCTGTGCGTCTCACGAGGGCTCCCCAACACCCAGATACACCTGGAAAAGCTTCAATATGCAAAATGAACCCCGTTTGCTACCATACACAGAAGGTATGGGAAATCCAAAGACATCAAGGCATTGAGCTCTCCGCAGTTGAGGGCTGGAAAGATTTTAAAATACAAATACAAAACACCCTTAAGGCTTATTCTAGGATATTCTCTGAACAGGAGTTTGAAAAGTTGTCCTTTTGATACAGGACATGCTCAGGAGTAACTTAGCAGGGGGAAAAGGACTCTTACCAGAAGTAAGAATGGTCAGAAAGACTTAAACTCCATCTCTCCCCTAGTGAGAAAGCTGGATGGCTCTGGAAGCAGCCAGAAGGAATTATTTCTCAATTGCTGGGAGTAAGACATAACATGAGGAACAACACTGAGTTTTCTAATTGTCTTTACATCCCAGCTTGCTTGACACCAAGCAGATCTCTTTCTAAACTGAAGGAAACAAAAGCTGGCTCTGGAAGCTTTCTTCCAGAGATGACCCCTCACCTAGAGAAAGAGGATATGAGAAAGTTACACCATTGCTACTTTGAGCATGAAAAAGGCTTCTAGTTCTTTAGGACTGACACACAGGCCCTAATATTTTATTTGCTTTCATTTTAATTTAGAATCTGGAAGCAAAAAGGAGCTGAATTTCCACAACAGGAACCATTTCTACAGAAACAAGGGTTTAAGACTCTTTTAAGTGTATCAGTGACAGAGGACTCAGACTTATTTCATTGAACAATTTTTTTTCCTGGCCTGTCCAGCTTCAGGAAGACAAAGTGTCTGTACCTACCCTTCCTGGTTTAAGGGAAGTAAACTAAAGATGATCAGACTCCACAGGATATTCCACACTCACAGCCAATTGTTGCATAAAATATGTATCACCAGGGGCAGGAACTTCATTCATTTCAATGGCCACTAAGTGGTGCCAGCGCATCACACACAGCCCTGAGCACAGCGGGGACTTGGCACAGCAGCAGCTTCTGCTGTCACCCGGTTCTTCCCTGGGACAGGAGTCTCTGCTGGCCCATTCCCACCTCATTTCTGCTCTCATCGGAGCACCCATGGCCAAGCCCAGTGCTGTGTGTCCCCAGGTGACCCAGGCTGGCTGGGTGCCCTATTGTCACTACAGGTAATTGCCTTCTGTGCTAAGCAAGTCCCACTGCTGCAAAGCATGCAGAACCCCCTCAGGAGACACTTCAGAGCTCACAGTACCTGACCCACATTTTTCCCCACTTCATTCACTCAATCTCTTTTGATTTATCAGAAGCATTTAAATTCCACTTCTAGACTGAGATTTTGAAAGCTACAAACATCATACACACACCCCCCCCACCAAAAAAAGAACCCAAAAAAAAAAAAAAAAGCAACAGGAGGGAGACAAGTAAATACAAGGAGTATGTAGAGACTGAAAGAAAATAAAAACTAAAAATCAAGCAAGCATATGGCCTGTCATTTCTCAGTTTGCATGCTCTTCTACTATCTGGCACTAGGTGCCAGCAAATCCTAAATGCAAAAAAGTGAGATCTCAGGGAAACAGCAAAGCAATCAAGAAGTATTCAGTCTTTTGCTTTCAGAGAAGGGATCTGGACCTCTTTCACAAGCAAAAAGCATGGACTACACATACCCATATCAGCTGGAGATGTAACAAACGAACTGACTGCCTGAGCAGACAGAGCTGAGCTTCAGCCTGTGGTTCTGAGCTGTGTGAGGCTGGACAGAAAGCATCAGCATCACTGCAATCCTATCACTAGAGTTCTTCTTTGTTTATTTACATAGCCTGTGTGGCTTCTTATCACTAGAAAACTTTCTTCCCCACTGCTAAATAATTGATATCTGAAATCCTAGGAGCTGCATGACTGAAGAGCTTTCTCTTGTTGAACAAGTTAATTCATCAAGATGGCCAGTTCTCAGAGCCAGGTCCTGATTTGGGTATCTGACATTTCTGAAAATCCAGCATCAAAAATAAAAAAACCTTTCCCTAAGCACTGACACTTCTCTACCTTCCACCTACAATTTTTTTTCTAAAAGGAATGTTCAAATACCACATGCTCCCTGTAATCAAAACAGCACACTTCTGTTTATCCTCCCACAAATCACTCTAAAACCTAGGGATGAGCATGGCGGCTCCCAAGCAAGGCAGAGCAATCCATCAGCTTTAATAACCTCTCATCACTCCAGCCACCCTGGGCTGGAACTGGAGGGCTGCTGTTGCTACTTTCTTCCCTGCTTTAATTCTTATCTTTTTTGGCCTGATTTGTGTTTCACAACAGGGCAACAAATAACTCTGAAGAACATCTCAGCAGACACCTCTGGCTTTTACATCTGCACTGCAACAAATATTGTGGGAACGGAGTTTTGCAACATGACAGTCAGCGTCGTGCCACGTAAGAGATGGGGCTGCCTTGGGGAAAAGAAATACCAGAGAGAACATCTTAGCTCAGAGTCAAAGCATTAAGGGAGGGGAATGTTATAATTCAATTTCTGCACACCTTTAAAAGAGACCCTCTCCAGTGGTTTACATGCTGGCAGAGCACTCACTAACTCATTGGGTTAGTCCAAAATTGACAAAAAAAAGCTCTGTGGAGTCAGACAGCACTGAATTTGCGATGTCTGAAACAAAACTTTATAGACAAAGAAAAGCAGGTGTTCAGTTCCCTGTCAGTAGCTAACTGCTCCTGTACTACCCAGTAGAGAATTATTTCCAGTTGCTGCAGTCAAACAAATGTGGCTTCCACATTGTTTGGTGGGGGGGTTTGAAGTGCAGTGATTGTGCTGATCCCCTTAGACATCCTTCCCCCTGCTAACTCCTCCCTTCCCACGCAGCATCCATGAACATAGCTCTGTATGCTGGCATCATTGTGGGAGTTGTTGCTGCCATTGTGGTGATTGGGATCATTGCCTATTGCTGCTGCTGCCGGCAAAACAAGGACACCGACTATGAGATGACGTGAGTAGCTCTCCCTCCAGCAGTGAATGGAACAGATGAAGGGCTCTCCTTTTCCCTCCAGCATCAACAGATAAGAGTAGAAAGCTAGGGAGAAAAATATCTGGGGAAGTATGCACTGCTTTCTCTTTTCACTGTCCACCCCAGTGGTTCCCCTCTCTCCTCATGGAGATGCCCAGGAGTCCCAGACACCTTTGTGCCTCTGGGTAGAATCAAATCATTCAAACCTTGGATGTGAATTAGCACACGTGCTATGAGAAAACACCGAGAAGCTCCCACACCTCTTGCATCACCAGCAAGACTTAAGTCATGGACTTCAGCTGGGTGCAGTTCTAGAGCAGCTTAGAGCAGTTTAAAAGTATCCTAACACAAAACCTCTTCAGCGAGGCTTCTGGATGGTTTTGATTAACATTTCTACTCCTGAACAATGTTTTAGGGTGCAAGAAGACAGAAATGAACCCTCCAGGCAGATGCCAGCAAGGCATGAGAGCATAGGGGAGGATGTGGAGAATGCATGAATGAAGAAACCACTGTGATCTCCAGGATCTGCTGAAGCACAGACATAACTGTAGAAAAGAAATCAATCCCTCTTTCTTACTGCAAGAAGTTGAATTATAAAATGAAAACCAAAGGCTCTGCCTTCAAGTTCTGGGAGAGAACATTCTTGCTTCCCTGGAAATAAGTGCTTGATGTACAGTGAGCACCAACACACACTCTCATAACAGAAAAATGCATGTGGAGCACTGCTGCACCCAGTCATCCAAAAATAAGCAGTCTTCCAGACTTCCAACTTTCTGAAAAAAGAAACCAGTCAGGTCTATTTGGAGAACAGAGCTGCTGATGTATCCCCAGATCCACAAAAGGTTTGAAAGTCACCAACTGCATTTCATCAAGGAAGGGTGGTCTTGTTTACTGAGTCATGCAAATGTCACAGCTCTCACCACTGTCCAACACAGAAACTGTTTTTATGGAGGTTGAAGCAAGATGATTTTTGAAGACATTTTATTAAATGTGGGTTTTGTATGTACTGTACATGCACATAAAAATAAATATATGGAAGAAAAAAACATCGATGACCAGTGAGTCTCCTATTTGGGACAAGAGTACATAATAATGTCACAGATAAGGTAAGAACTTAGATGGGCAGCTGATAAGAACTAGAAACATACTAGTAGCCTATCTACTGTCAGACTCCTGAATTTCTGAGTTCTAGCTCCCAGAGCTCCTAATTTTCATTACATTACTTTTTCCTGCTGACTGTTGCATGGGCAAGTCAGAAATAGTCCATTGCTCCTGCTGCTTCTGAAAAAATGACAACATGAGAGCATGTACATGGCAAGTACATCCTTAATTTAAAAAAGGTAGGGGGGATGGAAGGAAAAAGGAAAAATAGCTTTGTTCAAAACTGTAACTATCAGAAGAACTGCATTTTATGTGCAAGATGTGTGCATGCCAGAATATAGGCAGAAACTGGCAGCAGCCACTAAACAAACCATTGTAACCCTCTGCTACCTGTCCCACACTCTTCACTTTTAGGATAGGTGAAGTTGAATTGCTGTTTGTCAGCTGAAGTCTTCAAGTAATACTTGCACAACAGTCATTTTAGGCATGAAGGAAAATACAGATTAGCAGTAAGCAACTGCACTAAGCTGTCTAAAGAAACCAGCCACAAAATACAGAGTTTACAAAATTACCCCCAAACCCCTGTATTTAATTCTCTGCAAGGACATTCCATAAGAACTGGCAGAGGAAAAGCAAGAGAGTCCAACTTGACAACATTTAAAACAGCATTACTTCAAGTTCTGCAATGCTAAGCTCACTTCTGCACCGAGAAAACAACTAAGCAACAACACACAAAGATATGGCTGAGATAATTCAGTGCTGCATAATTTTTTACCTTTTTAAAAATACCTTGGAAGTAGTGCATTTATTAGAATGCTCTATGTGTTTTTCCTCAACCAATGTGTTCTACTCCATCAGCCAGGAATAAACACATTCTAACTCATGCTTTATTCCAGGGTTTTCCTGTGACTGAATTTATTTCTTGCCTGTCTTGTATGTCTTTTGAAAAGAACTAGCTCCAAGAGTTATCTCTAGTATAGCCACAACCTCATGCAAAATTAAACCAGCAATAATGAATTTGGAAGGAAGATAAGTATCACTAGCCTAATTTAACTAATTCCAAAGATTTAACATGTGTATACTGAACTTCAATACTCACTTCCCTCAAAATGCAGGAAGGAGGGAGAAAATGTATGACCAGGTAGAAATTCCTACTTTACTCTTTACACAGCAAACTGCTATTTAGTTATGTTCAACTTTACTCACAAAGTTATCACAGAACTCAAACAGGCTGCTCAGGCATGATTTAGCATCAGCAAATCCATGCTGACTCTTTTCAGTCCCCCACTTCTCCTTCATGTACCCAAGAACACATTCCAAGAGGGCATGATAAGATTCCTGCAAAGACAAGAGAGTCTTCCCAATCAACCTCCCTGCATTGCTCTTGTGTTTGGGAGACACTGTCCTTAATGAACTGCCAACCTTAACGCTCCTTTACCCCACAGAGCTGGCACCAGGGATTCTACCCTTCCCTACTTCCCACATAACCACCAAGATCTGCTCTCACTGCCTTCTCCACTCCTCTTAGGATCTTGGGAAGTATTTCCAGTATTACAGACACACAAAAGCTGGTGCTGCCACAGCCCACTTCAAGATTCAGTACAGTGCACAATTCACAACTTGTCAGGAAGACAGGAGTTAATTATCTCACCATCCTTGTTGCTAGAGAAACTGCACTCCTTTTCTGTTTATTTGTACCAACTGTTCCAGGAAAGACACCAAGGCAATGTTCTGGCTGATGAGGTTCACAATACAATGATCAAACCTCCAAGATTAATTCTGGATGTGTTGGAGCTACTACTAAATTTATTGCAGCCCAACTTAAGGGAATTTGTAACTTCTGCTGTGCTTCACCTGTTCACTAGGGATTGAAAGGAATTATTTGAAAATGACAGAGAAGTTTAATGGGAGCCTCTAACACAGAACCATGGAAAAGTGAGGGAACTGAGATAATACAGGGTTAGATTAATAGAAGTGTTTGCCAATTTCTTCATTTTACTAAATCATTGCAATAAAATTTACTGGCTGGCCACTCTGGGGTGACAGTGAGGGATGATAATCCCGCAGAGTCATCAGGAGGGCAGAAATTAGATAACAAACTTGTTTTTCTCCTGCTCCACCACAGTACATTTACTCTGCCAAAAGGAATGATGTTGCTAAAGTCTTCGCAGCCAGCTGCATCTACTTCTATCCATCAACCAGAAAACAAACCCAGTTTCACCCATATACTTGAGTGACTTCACTTTTGGGCAAAGTTTGAAATCCTTCCTAGCAGAAAGGGTTAGAACTTTTTAATTCAACTAACATATCCAAAAGCAGTCTCTCTTTGAAAATTATGCAGATTTTAAAAAAAACTTATCAAAAATGAAAAAACACAACTATTTTACAAGAAAATCAAAACAGGGCTTCCTAGAATAGAGGTTTTCATTCACCCAAAACAAGTACTTATTCAGAAGAATCTGACCTTCAGCACACCACCACTTGACTGTGACAGCTCAAGACTCGGAATCCCTGAAATGGCAGCAAGTTTCCTAATAGGGAATGACTCAGCGAGGACCTCACTCTAGGCAGCTGGCACAGGACACACCCCATGGAATGAGCATCAGCTGTTGCTGTTTGATCCAGGATCACAGCACTGCTTCCTCCAGAGGGTCACCTGACAGATCCTCCACATAGAAAATCCCCACCAAAATGCTGCCTTGTTTCTTTTAGGATTTGGATGAGTGACATATTGCTAAGGACACAATAAAGATCCATCTTGCCTTAGACACAGCAAACACTCTGATAACATAACAGTTATAATGGAAGTTAGTGTACTCATTCTAATGGCACAGATCTTAGGCTTTTCACTACAAAAAAAACCCCTCTAGAGTTTTTGGTTATTACTGTAAGACAGTTGCTGCCCCAGTTAACAGCCCACTCCCTACAGCACATAATTAGATCTTCTCCATCTCATGTGCTATTTTAATTTACAGGTGGTAAGGTACAGATATGCCACGAAATCCTAATAGCATTTTCCCACTTCTGCTCACATTCTTTATCTCAGTCCTGATATGTAATACATTAAGCTTAGTAAAAATTGTTCTTAACACTGAATAAGTGTTTTAACAATGATTTTAATGAATTTTTAATGAATTCTCTCCTACATAAGAACCAAAACAAACTTTTATTGCAAGAGTGAACTCTGAAAATGCTTCAAAAACAACAGTTCTGTACATTATGAAATATCAATGCAGCAACGGCTGTCAGTTAAGGAACTTGGACAACTCTATACAAACACAGAAAAGCCTTTAGCACTACTTGATAGACACTGTCAGTCTGTTACAACATTCCCAGGTGCTTCACTGGTAAATTTCAGCCTTAGAGTTTTAATGTCCCTTATTTGGTGAAAATCAGCAGGTAAGACAGCAGCCTCCAAGGAAGGAAATACAAAATCAATTGAGGAAATTCAGTGATAAAGGCGAACAGTTAGGTAAGAATAGAAGTGCTTCACTGATCCTAAAACAATGGAAGAAAAGGTTCAACTGGTCTTACAGCAGCTGTAAAAGGGTTCCAACTAAACCAGCACTTGGCCTTTTCTGACACCCTGATCAGCATGTTCAAATAAACCTTTGATTTTGGCTACATTTTGGGTTTTGCTTGCATTTGTTTTGTTGGATTTTTTTCCTTATTCAAGGGAACGAACCACCTCATCTTGAGTTTCAGTACCTACAAGGAATGAAACCTTCACACAGTTAGTTGCTATGGAAATAGTATTTCAAAACTGGACATCTGTTGGTACAAAATCTAGGAACAACTTAACAAAATAAGCTCTTATTTCTCAGAATCACTTGCTTAGGAGACACATGGGCTAAGCACAAGGCTCAGACAGACAACTTTTTGGGGATTAGTCCAAGCACTACCTCCATAAAAAGGTACATCTGACTTCCCTAGAAAATATCAAGACAGTGTCCCACTTATGTGCCTTCAAATAATTATGACTGGTATCTACCCAGCCTGGCTAAACTCTTGTGAAATGTATCAGTTTGAATTTGATACTCTTTAATAAAAAAAAAGCCACTAACAAACCAACCTCATAACACCTACACTTCTCTTCCATCTCTAAGTTTCAGGGACATGCATTTCTTAAAAAGAAAACTCATGCAAATTAAAAAAAAAAAAAAAATCTATGCTGTACTTGTCCCTGATGTATATAATACAGCCTGTCCCTCTAAGAACATTAACAAATAGATAAATTTGCCACAGTATGTATTTCATGACATTTTATACAAAATCTGCTTTTTTGCCTTGAAAGACCACTCAAATCTTTCATGGCTAAAACTGATACATTACAGCAAAGTTTTGTGACTACTGACTTTTAATTAATTCCCCTAGGGCAGCCCTTCACACCTTCAATGCTTTCTCCCCTGCACCAGTTTTTGAAGCAAGACTGTTACACACTGAAATTCCATCTTCCACATGCAGGAGATGGGAAGGTCGTTAAAAAAAAAGAAATACAGCAAAAAGTTTAAGCTGTTTACACACTGGTCACTAAAAAAATTGTTCTAATTCAATTACATTGATGAATTTGCACTCTATTCATTAAGAAATACAACTAGTACAGCATGCAGTTTTAAAGATGTGACAGTCAGGTCCCTTCAAAGTAAGTCTTCCTGTAGATAATGAACAGGATTCTTTAAATCCACTCAATAGTTTTATCATTCTAACAAGAACTTCAACTGTCAACGTTTGCACAGAAGATGAAAAACTGCAGTCTGGAGAAACTACTCGTTATCTTAGGGAAACAAAGAAAATTAGAATTTACAGCTGTCCTGGATATGAAAGAGATTTTCAATTGGATAGATCAGATGCACTTCTCATCAATCGAATAGCTCCTCTTCCTTGTACAACACTCGCTCCACAAGGGGAGGTCTTCACACCACATGGAAAGTCACCTATTAAATTAAATACAGTTTGCACATCAAATCAGCCTTTAAAGCTCACATAAATTAATAGAATTGTTCTTCGTGCTCTGGAGCTGAACCTACAGAGCATCAGACAGCCCTGATACAAAAAGTCAGGCAGGTTGTGTCCTCCACAAACACCAAGACCATAAGATCATGGTTTCCAGGTGGAACAGAGTTTAACCCGGCATGAATCTTACGCATAAGATATCAAGCTGCAAACTCAGAATTCTTATTTATTTTGCAAACCTTTTTTGTTCCTCTGAAGGTTAGCCATGAAATGCCCAGATGAACTGAGCTCAGAGGCCTTTTAGTAAAAAAATCCTTTCTGCAAAAAGAGATTTTAAAAGAGAAGACTTTTATCTGAG